GCCTTTCGCCGCCTTCCGCCGCCTTCCGCCGTGGAGGAGGCGACACCTCCTTCGATCCTCGACGGCAGGGCCCTGTCTGCCGCGCCTCGTCTGTAACCTTCGCCTCCTTTCGGCTCTGGACGCTCGCGCGACTGCGACCCCCGCCGGCCTGGCCACCTCGCGAGGCCCCGGAGGAGGAGGAGGAGGAGGAGGAGGAGGAGGAGGAGGAGGAGGAGGAGGAGGGAAGGTGAGGAGGAGGAGGGAGGAGGAGGGAGGAGGACGACGAGGAGGGGGAGGAGGAGGAGGAGGAGAAAGAGGAGGAGTAGAGGAGAAGAGAGGAGGAGAGGAGGGAGAGTGAGGGGGAGGGGAGGAGAGAGGGAGGAGGAGGAGGAGGAGGAGGAGGAGGAGGAGGAGGAGGAGGAGGAGGAGGGAGGAGGAGGAGGAGGAGGAGAGGAGGAGGAGGAGGAGGAGGGCCGCGCCGCGCCGCGCCGGGAGCCCGCGCCCGCACGCGCTCTCCTCCGGGCCTTCGGCGATCGGCTCGGCGGGTGCCTCGGGCCCTCGGGGCGTTCCGGGGCAGGGCCTGGCCCCCTCGACCTGCACCCTGCGCGCCTCCCCTCCTCCCTCTCTCTCCTCTCCTCCTCATCCTCCTCCTCCTCCTCCTCCTCCTCCTCCTCTCCTCCTCCTCCTCCTCCTCCTCCTCCTCTCCTCCTCCTCCTCCTCCTCCTCCTCCCCCTCGCTGACGCGGCGGCGGCCGCGGCAGCGCGCCACCTGCCGCGCGGAAGGTGCGGAAGGTGCAGGTCGAGGGTCTCCGAGGAAGCGCGGGGGTCACCCGCGGAGTCGCGTGGAATAGGCCCGCGGGACTTGGCGGAGATACGGCGAGGTCGACTTTGCTGGCGGACACGCGACTGTGCCCCAGCAGGAGAGGTCAGCGCTGGGACAACCAAGATCTCCGACGTCGCCATGCCTAGAAGAAAGTGCCCGGCTGGGCCCGTCGGGGCGGGTCTAGCGTGGGTGGTGCACCCACACCGCCTGCGTTACCACGGATGCACCGCACCAACCCCACCACTTTCAGAAGGCGGGGTTCCGGCGCCGATCCGAAGAATCCGCGCGGACCTTCGAAAACCGTTGCTTCTTGTCACACGAGAGAAATCATCGTGGGGCACCTGTGAGAAGGCCGATTTCTTCTGTGGTGGCCCGGTGTCGTTAAGTAAGGGCCCAAAATCCCTCTCCGGGAGGGCTTAACCTCGCGGGCCTCGTCTCACGCCCTGCGCGTACGCGGGGGGGGGGGGGGGGCGCGTGTCCTTGATGTCTAACCTCGGCTGCAGGTGAAATTCGTATCCATATCCACTGCAGCTTGGACTTTCGGGCTTCATTCCCCAGAAACCAGGCGCAGATCATATGGATACACACCCGACTTCAAGCCCCGGCCTTTTGGCGGCCCTCCCCCCCCCCAGCAAATCCAAAACGAAATGGGCGTGGATGTAAATATTGTTCGCGCGTGTCCGTGGCGCCCGAGCTCAGCAGCCTATGACCTCATGCGGGCGAGGCTCGATCGAACCTGTGGCAAGAGGGCGAGACATGCCTCGGCGCTCCCTGAGCCCATCCCACCCTAATGTTGCCCCTCGGCTTTCGGGTCGTAGCTTGGCTCTCCGGCGGCCTTTCAGGGCGCCCCCGGCACCCCCAAGACGCCTCTCGGCGAGGCGCAGCCACCTCAGAGCGTCCCGAGGCTGGATATCCGCAAGGAAACGACGAACACGTGCGAAAACCTTGAACCTTCGGTCCCCCATGGTCTGCGCGGATTTCGTGGACTTGCGCTAAGACCCCCTTTCCTGATACGGAGCGCGCCAGGGGCGGCGCCGGAGGCGCCGCCAGGAGGCCCCAGGGCCGATCCGAGACATCCACGCAGACCTCTGGAACTTTCTGTTTATGTAAGTGTTTCTCCTTCGATGCCCCTGACTAGGAAAGCGGACAAAAAAACACCAACACCGCTAGTTACCAGACCTCTCCCGGAGGGCTTTCTGACCAGAATGTCGAGGCGAATCCAGTCGTGACGACGAGGGCCTTCCACGAGGCCCGAAAAGAGGAGCTAAGCCCAGCACCCTTTCCTAGACGGGGAGGCAAATGGCGGAGGGGACGACTCCTTGCAGCTGACGGCGGCTGCACAAGTGTAGATGCGACGGCCGATTTCACATTGCAGGATGCTGTCTTCTCCAGGCGCACTGTGGCACCGATGTGACGTGCATTCGAATAGGCGGAGTGGCCGGCTCCGCGTTGGTCGCTGACGAACTAGACCAGTTAATTCGGCAGTGCGCCTCGAAAGGCACAGCTCCCAGTGTTGTGAAGTCAACGCGGGATCGGGGGCGCATGCGGGCATTCCTGGCGCGAACGTCAACGCGCGACAACCGCCCGACCGCGAATTGCTCGACGCAGAGGCATCGCGACACCGAGCGCTGGGCGAGGTCGCCAAAGGCCGCCCCCCCTTGGACGGCCCTCCGAAAATCACCTCAACTAGAGGAAAGAGAACTATGCACATACACCGATTCTGGCCAGGCCCACCCTGAGCCCAGGATCGGTGCATACGCCATCCTGCCTTGGCCAGGAGGGCACATGCACCGATCCTGGGCCCAGGATGGGCCAGGCCAAGATATCATAAGTACCTATTTGACCACCCGCGTGGCTGCGGGCAGCAGACGTTCGCCGAGTCAACGGCTTCTACTGCCGATGTTTACGCGTCATTTTACGAATACAACCATCATGTATTTCGCGAATTTCAAACAAGACAGTGTTGGAGAAGGCAGGCCGGGTACAAGTTTCATGCAAACTATTCTAACAACAGCTGCTATTATATGGAAGAGTGGTGCGTGCGTTGGAGGGAGACGAATTGAAGAAGCGCACTTTCATCCCTGGAACGCACATTTCGGCAACGGAGAGATTCGTGAAGGAGGTTGGTCGCCCGAGGAACGAATGGGTTAGTCAAATCACCAAACACGCTGCTGTGATCGGAGAGAATCTCCATTGTGAGTCCGGTTGGTGGGCCGGCGTGAGCCGGCATTGCATGGCCTAGTTGAGTCAACGCGCCTTTCGGCGTACGACTTGCGAGTGAGGTTGGGGGCGGGGGCCAGCAATGGGCAACAGTGGTGATTGTTGCGTTGCCGCTCGCTCTAGGGAGCCTTGGTGTCGATTTGTTTACGTCATCCTTCGCTCCTGGGCGCCATGGTATCTCACAAGCGATGCCGTTATCGGTCTTACGATTGATGGAACCATCGATCCCACTATCGATCTCACTCGATCGATCTCACTCGATCGATCTCACTCGATCGATTTCACTGTCGATCTCACTCTGGATCTCGCTATCGATCCCACTAACGATCTACCTATCGATATCACCCGACCCCACAATCGATATCACTATTCATCTCACTATCGATTCCACTATCGATCTCGCTGTCGATCTCACTATCGATCTCGCTTTCGATCTCACTATTCATCTCACTATCGATTACACTATCGATCTGGCTATCGATCCCACTCGATCGATCTCACTATCGATCTCACTATCGATATCACGATCGATCTCACTATAGATCTCACTATCGGTTTCTCACTATAGATCTCACGATCGATCTCACTATCGGTCTCATTATAGATCTCTCTATCGATCTCACTGTCGATCTCACCACGGGACACCACGGGACAACGACGGGACACAAGCGGGATACCAGCGGGACACCAGCGGGACACCGCGCGCCACAGGTTGCGGGGCGGAGAACCTTTTGGTCCGGCTACGGCCCAGCCACGACAGGACACCGGCGGGACACCAGCGGGACACCAGCGGGACACCGCGCACCACCGATTGGGCGGAGAACCTTTTGGTCCAGCCGCGGCCCAGCCACAGGAGAATTTCCTCTCCCCCGCCCACGCAGCTTCGCCTCGCCCGCACGCACAGCACGAACACGAAACCGAAATCGACTTCCCGGTAGGGGGGCTCTCCGTTCCACTTCGATCTTACCCCCCAACCTCCCATTGGCTGGCACGTGAGCAGATGGGAGCGAACTGTATTAAAATGACTATTGTTGTTGCTGTTGTTCTTCTGAATCTATGAGGCTGGTTTATAAAGAATGGGCCAGGCGACACCTCTCCTATGCAGCTTTGAGCCGCACACGCACCACGATGCCCCCAGACGTCCTTAATCAAAATCAGCGCTCGTGGCTGCAAAAAAGACAGCCAACCAAGGAACGCGCCGTGGCGTCTGGACGCGCGGATGCTGCACCGGCGACGCGGCAAGCTGATCGGGCACCATGGCAAGCGCCCAATCCCGCGGGCGGCCCATCTCACCCTGGCTGGCCCTGGGCAAGGGTATTTGAGCAGGCGCCGACCGCCCCGGCATTCCTATGAGTCTACCACAGAATTTTCTTAGAACCCTAAGAATCTTCTAAGAACTAAACAAACACGATGTACTAAAACAAGAACGTCCCAGCCAGGAAAGTTCTCAGAACGTGTCCTAGAAAACACCAACAAGGTTCTCAGAACGTTGCTTGATGGGCCTTTTACGCCAGGACGCTTCGCGACTGCCTGAGGCATGCTTCCCAGACATGCGACGTCCTGATTATTTCAATATGGCGTCCCCAAAAGTCCAGACCCTCTCCCCGGGGCCGGTTTTTCATCCTGAATTGTCTTTCGATGCTCCCCGGGCCCGGTGGGGGCCCCCAGGGGCCGAAAATAGCGAAACGCTTGCCGCCCTGACTTTTTTACGACGCGATCATGTCTAGGTTCGGACCAGTGATGCGAGGCGGGGATTTATCAATGTCCCACCGCCTGGGAACCGACGTCCTGGTGCCCCAGCGGGCGGTGGATATGGATATATTTCGGCCCCCGGGGGGCCCGAATGTGTCCATATCCACCGCCTGCCGAGGCTCCGAAAACTCACCCTCCAGGCGGTGGATGTGGATAAATTCCTGCCTTGGAAGCGACGTATCGGTATACGCTCTCCTCCTCCGACGGACGCCGCGGGCCCCGCGGGCCTCGTCCCACACCTCCTTCAGGTCCCAGAAACTGCCCTTGCTCCACGCCTGGCCCTCCCGCTTCGGCAGCGGCAGCGCCGGCGGGGTCGGCAGCGACTCGGGGTTCAGCGGCGTGTTCTGGCCAGAGTCGGACCTGCTGCCGGCGGGAGGGGCGACGGAGGGGCCACAAAACTGATGTCAGATTTGGAGCCGGCTGGGAGTCTGAGGTTGGTTCCGGCCAGAGGGCGCGCAGATTCGAGGTTCTGAGTTCGGGCAAATGTTCTGCCTTTGTCGACCCCTGCGGGCCGTTATCTGGCCCGGGACCGTCAAAAACGGATCCAGAATGGAAAACTCCACGCAATGGAAGCCGGGAGGGCTCCGGGAACCGATTTCGAACGGACTTGGCTCTGGCCCTCCTCCTGACAGATTTTCTGGGACCCCGACCAAATCAGACCCCCTGGCCGCCTCCAGTGTCAGATGGGCTGAAGCAAATACGTCGTACTACGTCGCGTCGACGACAGCACGCGTCGCATGCATGAACCAACCACGTCATGCTGGCGATCGGAAATCGCTCGACTCGGGAATTCCTTGAACCAACGACCACTCACGGGTTGGAGACAAGGTCAAAACGGCTGCCAAATACGTCACTGCTGCCAAATGTTGGGCGCCCGAGTTATCCGGGGTAACTCGGGTCCGGGGTAACTCGGGTTTGGATTCCCGAAAAAGGAACCCGAGTTAGCCCTGACCCGAATTACCCCTGATGATAAGGGGCTCTTGACGCCCGAATTATCCCGGGTAACTCGGGTCCGGGGTAAGTCGGGTTCGGATTCCCGAAAAACGAACCCGAGTTAGCCCTGACCCGAGTTACCCCTGATGATTCGGGGCTCTGAAAATGCGTCTCACATTACACCTGACCTGGGCAGTGCAGACGAGTGACATACTCCGTTCCGCGAACCACTTGCGCACGCCCCGTCGTGCTGGCTGATACTCACAATCCTTTGCGTTCGCCTGTAGACTTCGGTGAGCGCGTGGTTGAGGCGACGTTGTTTTCGGATTCCATATCTTTGCTGAGGCTTGAGAGTTCCCGTCGCGCGTGCAGCGTGAGGGTGGACTATGGCGGCAAGCATCTTCCGGTAGGGTGGCGGCCACGTATCTTCGACGTTGGCTGGGGTCGAGCCGCGTTGCTCAGAGTAATACGCAACCGTGCCGCAGGCACACAGTGGAGTGTCATGCGAGTTCTGTGTATTGAATATCGTGGCGATCTTCTTCAAGGGGCCAGGACCCTAATTGGCAGAATGACTTGTTGGTGTCGCGTGACTTCCTCAAGCCAGAACTTAGTAAAACACTTTGCGTGCAATCATTGCTGCCGGGTCTGGAGGGGGCATACCCAGATGCAACCAATAGTAGGGGAACGACACATTACATAAACACACCACATCAGAGGTCCGCGCGTATTTCTCGGATCCGCGCTGGACCCCCCCTCTCTGGCGCGCGGAGCGCGCCAGGGGCGGCGCCACGGGGCCCCAGCGCCGATCCGACCTCCGAGATACTATGTTCATGTCATTGATCATTACCGTAAATAAACCCAACAGTTGCCACCTAGGGGCCGCCGAGAGACCCCTCGAGACGCCCAGAAATCTACGATATGCCTCCGGTCCACGGCGAAGGCACGTTGGCAGGATGTGCCGAAGGCCACTAGATAGCAGCAGAGGTCGTGTCACTCATTGCTGGTAACATGGATAGTCCTTCACTTCGTGGATCCCATGGGCAGGAAGAGCCGGAAAACCAGCAGGAGGAAAAGCGACAGCAGGGGAAACAAGACGGAAGGATGTGAGGAAGACAAAAAGAAAAACTGTGCGGACACCGACGCGCACGGCAACTGGCGGGGTGCCCCCCGCGCAGGTTGTGGATTCCGTGCGCGTCAAGGCAATCGGACTCGACAACGACGACTCGACGACGACGGCGGCGGCGGCGACGACGACGACGACGACGACGGCGGTGGCGGCGACGACGACGACAGCGTGACGACGACCACGACGACGACGACGACGACGACGACGACGACGACGGCTGCGGCGGCGACGACGACAAGCGGCGGGAGGCTGAGCGCGCGACAAGTGGCTGCTGCTGGGCAGCAGCCCGTGCTGGAGGGGCGACCCCACCGTGGGCCTCCCCTCCGTGGTCGCTCCCTCGCTCTCTCGTTCGACGGGGTGGCGGCGCACCGCAGCCCCTCCTCCTCGTCCTCCTCCTCCTTCTCCTCGTCCTCCTCCTCCTCCTCCTCGCCCTCCTCCTCGCCCTCCTCCTCCTCCTCGTCCTCCTCCTCGCCCTCCTCCTCCTCCTCGTCCTCCTCCTCCTCCTCGTCCTCCTCTTCCTCGTCCTCCTCCTCCTCGTCCTCCTCCTCGTCCTCCTCCTCGTCCTCCTCCTCGTCCTCCTCCTCCTCCCGCCCTCACCCCTTCCCCCCTCCCCTCCATGTCCCAGGCCCGTGCTGCCGAAGCTGTCGCCTTGCCCGGATGGCAGCCTGGGGCGTGTGGCACAGCAGCCGTGCTGCAATCGGGCCTAGGACAGAGGAACACCCTTCAAAATCGCGAGATCCTCCTCCGGCCAAAGCAAGCGTAACTTCCAAGGGTGCCATCCCCAGAATGCACAAGAGCATCCAACAAACACGAGCCTCAAGAGCTGCGTCCGGGGATCTCTCGCGAATCTCTGGGAAGGGTCGGGGCAGTGGGAAGGGGGAAGGAGAGGTGGTGGGGAACGAGGGGGAGGGGGGGGGGGCAAACTCGAAGCGAGGGGGGGTGCTTCAGTCAAAAACAGTACGGATACGACCTCGATCTTATGCCTCGGTCCGACGGTCTGGCACCCTGGGGCGTGTGGCACAACCGCCGTTCTACGATCAGGCACGCCGAAGACGAGGATCGGGACGAGGAGGCCACAGCGGGGAGAAGGAGGAGGAGGAGGAGGAGGAGGAGGAGGAGGAGGGGAAGGAGGAGGAGGAGGAGGAGGAGGAGGACGAGAAGGAGGAGGACCAGGAGGAGGACGAGCGTGTCTGAGCTACAAGGGGCCTCTTGTGGCCACGGCGAGCCTCCGCCACGACCCGGCCATCCGGCCAAGGCTGGCGGAACACGGAGAACAAGCAAAAGCCGGAGCCCCGCCGGAGCCCCGAGCGGCCCTTACCTCGCAGCGTGCCGCCGGGGCTTCTGGCCACGGCCGCGGCTTCGGAGGCTGCCCGCCGTCGGCCCGCACACGGGAGCGCACACGTGCTGCGGCGGCGGCTGGGCAGAGCCGCTGCGCTGGCGAGGAAGAGCGGAGCGGGGCAGGCGTCCAAAGCGAGGTGTGGCACCATGCGAGAGGGGGGGGAAGGGAGGAGGGCGACGGGGCGGCGGCCGAGGGGAGATGGAAACGGGATGGGGCCACTCAGAGGGGCGTGGTGCCCGGGGCGCATCACACACACACAAGCACACACACACACTCACACACACCACCGCGCCCCCGTGTCTCGATTGGCTTGCCTTTGCTGCACTGGTGCTCTTGTCGGCCTCCACACGACACAGGCTGCAAAGTCCACAGGATGGCCTGAGGCGTTGTCAAGGCCATTCCAGACGGCCCGACTGGGCCGTCGCGGACACCTCGAGAGTGCACAAGAGAAAGTCCGAACAACCCCGAAGAAGGCCCGAATGCGCATCCAACAAGCGTCACGGAGGCACCCAATACGCCACAAGGGGCCATGCAAGAGGCTCTTGGGAGATCAAATGCGTTGACACACATCTGGTGCTTCAATTGGACCTGGACGTCACCCTTGTTTCGCTCCGGCAGCGCCGACTGCCGAGAGCAGGCCCGAGGCTCCGAGCAGACCCGAGGCTACCCCGGGGCGGCCCATAAGCACTCCCGAGACGGCTCCAGGGCACAGGAGGCACAAGGACGGCCCCGAGACAGCCCCGAGGTACGTAAATGCGGCTTCACGCTGGTTCCGCCTTCGGTGGCAACTTGCGGGAGCCTCCTGTACCATTTTTGTTGGCTCTTGCGAATCGACGCTAGTCGACGCTAAGTCGACGCTAGCCGACGCTAAGTCGGCGAACATAGAATCTACATCTCCGCTTCCTGATCGATTACCAAAATCTAATCGACGCTAGTGCACTCTGAAGACGGAGCTACGAAAGTACACGAATCTCATATGATCTGCTACCGAAGGCGGCCTCGTAATCGTTGCAGCGAGCCTGCTCGTGAGAGATTTTCGATGGCAACTCATGGGAGCCTCCCATACCATCTTGTCGGCTCTTGCGAAACGACGCTGGTCGACGCTAACCGACGCTGAATCGGCGCTAATCGACAATAACCAACGCTAAGTCGGCGCTATCTCATCGACTCCCAGACGCTAATCGACGCTGAAGTCAGAATAAGAGGGTGCACCAGGCTCCCATGAGTTGCTACAGCTGAGATTGGCCGAACCATCCGCCCAGAACGGCCCAAGCCGAGCACTTCCTTTGGGTGGCGGGCAAATGGTGAACTCCGAAATCGAAGGGGCCCCGGGACACACAAAAAATACACACACATAACAGGATTCCTCACATTTTCCCGTAGTTTCTTAGTTTTTGTCTGCCCCCCCACTTCCCATATTTTCCCATATTTCCTAGGGATCGACGGTTCATTGTGTCTGTGTGTTGTCCCCTCCTGAATTCTCTTTGGGTGGAGGGCAGAGGGCGACATCCGAGATGCCGCTCCGATGGATCCTCGAGGCTCGAGTCGGCGCAAAGTGAATCACGAGACGGATCGATCCTCGAGGCGCACGAGCCAATAATGGACTTCGCCCCGAGCCCTCCGCCCTACAGGGCAGTTCTTAATACATAGGACTTTGAACCATAGAACATTTCGTATACAGGGTTCATGCATGCATAAACATCTGTGCGTGAACTCATGATCCGCACGCGGAGCATGTATACAAAAAACGGCACTGCGAGAGAATGCTCCGCCAAGAGAGCCCTGGGGCGCCTGCGGAGGCTTTTGTTGTTGCAGCGCCGGCGCGGGGCAGCCGTGGAACACAACGGGGCGGCGCCCTGGCAGGCCCCGGGACAGAGAGAGATCCTGGAGCTGCCTCGGCCCCGCGCTTAGCAGTCCCGGCTCCCATCGGCTCGGTCGCAACTCGTGGGAGCCTCCCCTGTACCATCTTGCCGGCTCCTGCGAATCGCCCCGCGAATCGGCGCCGAATCGATGTCAGACCGACGCTCCTCGACGCCGAGTCGGCGCTGTCTCGTCGACTGCCAGGTGCCGGTCGAGGCTGCTGCTCTCGAGCCACGGACCCGGTTGTGTGGACGAGGGGTCCCATTACTTGCTGCCGAACACCAGCGCCTTCGCGCCCGTGGCTGCCACGTGTGCCCCCCTGTCTCCTGTCCCGCCCTGCCTGAAGGGGCTCTGGGACACACAACTATATACACACAATTAACAGGACTCCACATATTTTCCCATATTTCCTGGGTTTTTGTCTTCCCCCCCACTTCCCATATTTTCCCATATTTTCGCGGGGAATCGACGATTCATTGTGTCTGTGTGTGTGATTTTTCCCCCCCTGCCCTGCCCTCCCCGCCCCTGCGCCCGCCGGGCCGCCGCCCTGGCAGCCCTGGCTGGAGCTGGCCCACTGTGCGGCGCCCAGGGCAGCTTTTAACGCATTGGATTTTTAGAAATATAGGAGTTTTGATACAGAACTGATTCATGAGTAAATTCGTGCATGACCTCATCGCTGCTTTTGATACTAAATCCCTGCATGTTTAATACATGATCCGCACGCGGAACATGTATAAAACACGGCACTGTCCTTGCTTATGCCGGGGGTGCGCAGGAGCCGCTGCGGCAGGACACCCTTGACAGTGGAGGCCGGTCCACAAGAGGGCTTCCACGAGAAACCCAAGACCGCGAGACCCCAGGACGCCCCTCGATGCTGGGCGTGGGGACGCCACGAGCTCCATCGCAAAACCATCGAGGCCCAAGAAGCCCAGAGCACCCTGGAGGCCAGCAGGGTGTTTCTTGGCATGGGTCTCCACTGTAGTATATAGAACCATATGCTGGAAAAGAGATGCTTTTTGATGATCTATTTTTTCTGCAAACAAATACGCCCCGGGGCCAGACCCAGCGGGTGCAGGCACGCAGAGAAGCTGCAGCCGCAGCACCTCCTGGAGAGCCGAAGCGGGAACAGAATCCGCCAGTCGACTCGGCCAGGTGAGGGTTCTCGAGTCATGACAGAAACCACGCGGCCTGCGACCATCATGAGAATCGCCAAGTCCTCCCCAGACCTCCTCGAGCCCTGGCAAAAATTAGGCCTCCGGTGGCCCTCACCAGGCGTGGAGACCGTCAAACAACGATGTGGGACGCACCACCGGTCCCTGGGGAGTGGGTCGGGACCTCTGGGGGTCGACGCCATGCAAAAATTATGACGTCGACGTCATGCAAAAATCATGCAAACATCATGTGCGTCTGGATCTATCAACATCCGATCAGAAGGCCGTGCTGCTCATGGACAGGCAGCAGGCGGAACACACAGCCTTTCGAATGTTCGCGCGCGGGTGTCTTAGATCGTCGCTGGACCCCATCATCCCTCGCGCGCGGAGCGCGCCGAATGCCAGGCGTATACCCAAGACATCCGCGCGGGTCACAGCCCGATGCGCCTATTCGATAAGACATGCAATTCAGACATGCTCGCACCGTGGATGTGTGATTCCGAGCAACACTTGTGACAACTTCTTCCTTCCTCTGTCCGTCTTTCCCTTTCCCTTTTCTTCGTTGCGCGATCTGAACACTCCAAGAGGTATCCCGTGACATGCGAACCTTGCCGTTGTAGTGCCGTCCTCACGGTGGCGCCTGACTTGAAGGTGGAGCTCTCGGATTGTGGACTGCGCAATCAAATCCGATATTGGGGTGATTATGTAAGGCTTCGGGTTGCGAGCAGACAGAACCCAATGTAGGCCCGGCTGGCCTCAACAGGCACCCCGAGTAGCCCCAGCTGGCCTCAACAGGCCCCCGAGTAGTCCTTGGCGGCGTAGGGATCAGTCAGCATCGATTTGGTAAGGTCGAAGTGTGCATCGGATCGAACTGCATCGGCACGGCATCGATCTCGAATCGGATCGGCTGCGCCAAGATGCAAGAACATCGGGCCGCATTGGACCGTCGGTACATCAGAGTCGAATCGGATCGGGCCAGCCGACTGAACATCGAATCGGATCCGTCGGATCGAAATGGACCTTGCTCTGGGGCCTGGCTGCTAAGCAACGCCCACACCCCTCCGGGCGAACAGCTCCGTGATAGCGGGGGACACGTCGACCTGGGGATACCAAACTGTACGGATACCGCTGCTCCCCGGACATCTCCTGGGGTGCGTTCTGGCCAGCCCGTCGAAGCGCATCCAGCGGTGGCGACGACGGCCTCCCAGGAGGCCCAATAAGGCGAAAACGACGCGCGGATAGAGGTATAGGTGCCTTTTCTTCCTCAGACGACCGGGGTGACCACCGGGGACGCCATCGCATGCGGCCGAGGCCCGCGGCCGGTGCCACGGCGGCCGCCGCCAGCGCGCCGCGGACTCGGCGGTGCGGCGCGTTGGCAGGGCGCCAGCGCAGCGCGGGCCCTCGGGGCGGCGCGGGCCCTGGGCGAAACCTCGAAGCCAAGCGCGCGCGCGCGGAGCGGCGCGCGTGCGCGCGGCGGCGGCGGCTGAAAAAAACAACTCCCGGGTCCCCGGGGCGTGTTTTGGCGGTGGTGAGGGGGGGCCCAGGGCTGACACAAACACTTTTTGTGAGCAGTTGCTCCCGAAGCGTTTTGTCGAACCGCTCGTGTTGAACATGTCTGGTTCCCCTTGCAACCGAGCGGCCGCGGACGAGGCCCTCTTGGAGCTCGCGACCAGGGTTCCGAATCGATGGTGAACGTTTTTCAGTCTCTTGACAATCCTTTTCTCTGTCTCAACAAGAACTTGAAGCCGCAACGGCTAAAGTACATCAAGCTCAGCAAACGCAAAGCAAACAAAGAAAAGGGTATGGATTGGAGGAATGGATGGGAAGAGCGAGAAATGGGAATCTGGGGCCATATCTCGACACCCCTCCTCGAGCCTCTTGCCGAGGTCCTCACCTCAGCTGAAATGGAACCTCCTTCACTCACCGTCGGGCAGCCTCCACTGCATCTGTCCGAAGCAGACGCTGCAGCACACCCGATCGATCAGCCGCCTCCTGCGGCCGCCCAGTCCGTGGCACCCTTGGTCGCGGTGCACCAGCGTCTCTGGGCTGTCTGCGTGGAACAGCGTCGCCCGTTCTGCAGGCAACACCGCGCAGCAGATCGAGCACGTCCCGCGCGTTGACATCCACCTCGTCCGGTTGGCCAGCACCGGGCAGTCCGGCGTCGCATGGACCATGGCCGGATAATCGTCGAGGTGGTACATCAACTGCATTCTCGGACGCCCTCCGCGGAACCGAGCGCCGTCTCCAGGCCTCGATGGTCCCGCGCTCTCGCCGTCCGTGTGTGACCCGACCTCCCAGGTCGCAGGTGTGGCGGTACCGACGTCGGCTCCGTCGGCATCTCCGTAGAGGAACTCGATGTAATCGATCCCGACGGTATCGCCGCATTCGCCAGGCAACGCTCTGAGGTGCGAGCGAAGGTAGCCGAACAACAGACCGATGATAACGCAGCTCAGGACCCAGGCGAACATGACCATCACGAGCGGCCCGAATCCTCTTCTGTCTTGGTCAGGTTGCGCTCTCGCGCCGCTCACCAGGATCATGAAAATCGCCAAGGATCGCGCCGATCTCCCTGCACTGAGCGCCGCGACCGCCGCGCTGCCGAACCCGTCGACCGCCGCCAGGCCGAGCATGGGTCTGCACTTCTCGAGCGACGCCTTGCCGAGGAACTTCGCGCCGACGTCTGGGGCATTCTCGATGCCCTTCACCTTCGCGATCCTGGTCTGGCCCGTGCCGACGAGTTGTTGGAGCCAGAGCCACTTCGCCTCGAGATGCCGTAGGCGTCCGAGTCCGCGTCGCGCGACGATGGCGACGGCGGATAAGGCGCCGCACTCGATCTCCATCGACGCGCCGTAGCACGCGAAGCGCAAGAGCTCCGGCGCGTAGAGCATCTCCGCCGCCAACTCCCCTGCGCCAAGGTACTTGGTCTCAGGACTCGACTGAGCCAACGCCGACTCTGTGCGAGCGTGCGCTTCTAGGACCGCACCGCTCCAGCGCAGGTCGACTTCCTGGTCTCACGGCGCCCCGCCCAGCCCGAGTCGGCGCGGCCTCGGAGTCGTTTCCAATCATTGGAAGCGAGGTGGACCATCGCCATGTCGCGGGTCCTGTTGAGGTAGCGGAGGAAGTGCTTCAGGCACTTCATGTCGGCCTTCCGCGGCTCGCTCAGCCGCCGACCGAGCTCCTGCTGCGGATGCGTCGCGCCCAGCCTCCTGGGAATGGCGTACTGGATCGTCCCGCAGCACCTCCGATGCAGCGAGTGCTCCTCGCTGTCGAGCGGTTCCTTTGAGCCAGGCTCGGTCGGGTCTGGCCTGGCGCCTGCTGTGCCCGCAGGCTGGCAGTCGGTCATGCCCGTGGTCTCGAAGGTGCTCCCCACGTGCCCGGGCTTGCTCTTCTCCGCGATCACGTCGTCGAACCGCTGCAACGACGAGGCGAGGTGGATCACGGGTTTCTCGCCCAAGACGAAGCGGCCCTTGATCACGAGGTGCCCCGCGAGCTTGTCGAAGAACTCGTCGAGAACGCGCCGCGTTGGACCAGGGGCAAGAGGATCGCCCATGTGGACCACTACCCTGGCCCCCTTCTCGATGATGGCATATGGTGGGCTTCGCCCGGCACACGTTGCAGCCGAGGCCAACCGCGATGCTTTCCAGAAGCCCTTGGAATCGAAGCGCTGCCTCTCTGAGCCCGTAGAGAGACTTCTTCAGCGCCCACGCGGATCCACGCCCCATGCCGTACTCAGGCGGCATCTCCACGTAGATCTCCGCCCCGTCCTTCACGGGCGCGCGCGCGCGAAGGCCGCGCTGAAGTCCGTCGACGCGATCGCGCGCTCGAGCAGCAGCGCCGCCGCCATCAGCGCCCCCTCGGCCTCCGCCCTCGGAGGGCAAGCGAAGAAATGCCCCGCCTGCGCGTCCTGAAACTGCCTCGCGACGAACCTGCTCCGCGCGCCGTCGCTCTTCTTGCGGTCCGCCTTCAGGTCCGAATGGGGATGCCTCGCATGGCCAAGAGTAGCTGCTTGTCGTAGCGCTCGCTCTCCACGAGCCTCCGCGCGGGCATCGCCGCGATTATGCCCTGGCGCGCCCCGCAGACGCGGGCGTCGCCCTCCAGCGACCTCCCCAAGTGCGCCCCGCAGCCCCACGCGGTCTCGAACTTCGCCGCGATTGGCCCAGGCTGTCTTCGAATCGCCGTCTCGCCAAGAGGCGCACTTGTCGCAGTGCTTCCCGTTCTGACGCTCAAACGACGTCTTGTAGTCCGAGCGGTGGGCCAAGAGCCGATCGTGTGTCCACGACGCGTGGCGCGCGATCCATGCCATGATCGGGCTCCTCAGCTCAATCGCGATCCCGCACTTGCCCCCGGTGGCTTTCCCCCGGGCCCCCCCCCCCCCCCCATCTCTTCGATGCACGCGTGGAACCTCGCCACCATGCCGTTGATGCCTTTGCTCATCTTCGGGGCAGTTCTGAACGTCGCCTTGTTGCCGACATCCCGAGCAACCTTGATCCCGGCTCGATGGGCTGGTTGACCTCCTGCGCCAGGAGCGGGGTCGCGTCGTCCGTGGCCGCGCTGTTGACGACCAGACCGCGCGCCCCGCGCTGCGCCCCCGCGCAGGCCATGACCGTCGCGAGCAGGAAGAACAGCCCGAACTCCTTAATCAGCCCAAGCGGTTTTCGCCCGCCCCGCGAATCCCTCGCGATCGAAGCCGAGCTCCTCGCACTGGATGGCGGGAGCTCCGCTCCGGCACCTGCAATATTGATACTGGTCACGCTCAGGATCGGCCCCGTCGCATCTGCCACGTGGAACTTCACATTGATCTCGTCGTGGGACTCCGTCTTCAGGTTCACCCGCTTGTCGCCGTAGTGCCTGGTCTTCGCCCCATTCGCGACCATGATCTCCAGCTTCGCGTCCTGGATGATCGAGTAGTCTGGGATGTCCTGCGGCCCGCGCACCGACCGATTCGCGCCTGCGTCGACCATTGCGTCGACCACCTGTCCCACGCGCGCGCCCTTGGAGCCGTCGCACGTGCCGACCGCGAAGATCCAGGCCGACTCGTCGTCGCACACCTGGCACGCAACCGACGCGGCCGTTGTCGCAGTGCTGCTGGTCTCCTTGCTGGGCTGCGCTGGGGCGGAGTCGCCCTGGCCCTGACTCTGCTGGCCACCCCAGCTCTTGCCCCAGTCGTCGGTGTTCCAGCCCTCGTTCCAGCTGCTCCAGTCGCCCGCGCGTCCACCTAATTGATATTGGCGTAGCAATCCTTCTGCTTGTGGCCCCACTTACCGCATCGACCACAATTTCTCTGGAATTTTTGCTTGCCGTCACCCTTGCCGCCCTTGTCGCGTCTGTCCTTGCCCTTGCCTTTCGAGTCTGTACACTTGCCTTTTGAGTCTCTACCTTTGCCGCCTTTCCAGTCGCCGCGTTTGCCAAGCCGTCGGTGCCACTTGCCACTTGTCTGGGCCCAGCCGACGTCCATCGGCGCGGGCCCCCCAAGCATGGGTTGCTCCGTGAAACAGATAGTCGGACGTGACCTTCTTAATCGTGTTCCACTGGATGTCTTCCTTCGGGATCAACAAGAGGACGTTGTTCTTCAACGCGTCAGGAGCCCGCGCGATCAGCACCGCCGAGCGGATGTTGTTGCTGAGGGCCTCCTTGGACATCTCCTCGTACTCCTCGATCAGGTTCTCGAACTTTGCGAGGTTGTCCAGGAACTCCGACTCGCCGCCGAAATCAAATTCCAGCACCTTCATCAGCCGCGAGAGGGTGCTACCCATGTTCTGCGGGTCGTAATGGTAGCTCAGCCTCCTATGCGCCTCGAAGCCGTCCTGATTGCTAATATTCCTGACGATGTCGAGTGGCGTGCCCTCTGTACACCACGTGAACATGAAGTATAGGCTGCGTGCCCTCTGACGCCACTCGTCGTCGTAGCTGCCGTAGTTCATCGCGTCCTGCTCCACCTGGCTCATACCTTCAAACGCCTGCCCGCTCTGCCTTGAAATTGAATGCCCAGTCGAGATAGTCAGGTTTCCTCACATTGTCGAAGGACGGCGGCTTGCCCTTGCCACCAATCAGGGCATCCATGATCTGGTCTTGGCGTTGCCGACTGGCCGCGCCCGTCTCCGCCGTCGCCCTTGCCGTCACCGACACCTCCTGGAGTTGGCCAATCGTCGCATTCTGATTCTCGATCAGCGTGAGGAATCTCCCGATCTCGCGCTTGGCCTCCAATACGTCCTGTGCCAAGGCCTCCACGCTCATTGCTGCGCCCAACCGCGCTCCGCTGCCATCTTGACAATCCTTTTCTCTCTCAACACGAACTTGAAGCCACAACGGCTACAGTACATCAAGATCAGCACACGCAAAGCAAACAAAGAAAGGGGTATGGAGTGGAGGAATGGATGGGAGGAACGAAAAAGGGGAATAGGGGCCATATCTCGACACAGTCGGCGGCGATGCGGGACGATCCGCTCCGGCGTGGCAGCGATGCAGGGGCGCAACAAAGCGGAGTGGCTGGCAAGCAAGATTCGTATTAGATCCATGGGATATCATCAGAAAAAATGACTCCTGCACGTAGCCGACGCGCGACGGAAGGACCCGAGGGGCTGAAAAAAACGAAGGATGGAAACGGAATGAACGGGCGGCGGCGGGGAAAGAGAGAAAGGGGCACCTGGAGGCCGAATACTTCCGCCATGCGCAGCCGGGGCGGCCCGCGGGCGGCGGGGACGGAGCGGGCCCGAGCGCCAGCCAGGCAGCCCGCGTCAGCAGACACGAAGCGCTGGTCACGGGATGTCCTTAAGCAAATTGTTTCTGAGATGTACTTCGGGGACCCGCTGTGTTGTGCGTCCACGTTCGGTGGCCGGCGGCCAGATCGTTGCTAAACAGCCAGGGCAACCATCTTCGCGCTTCGCGCTCCGCGAAGTGCGTTCGCGCTGCCGCGCCGCCCCCCTGGAGCAGGATGAGGGGCCCGCGCCTCGCTCCAAGATGCCCCGGACCGCGAAACGCGGAACACGACCCACGCTTCGCATCCTCGTGGCGGCTCCAGAGCAGGTCTGCGAGCCTCCGGACGAGACCACGATCGGAAACTGGAACATATACATTACCAGTGGCGGGTTGCTTGCTCAATCCCAGGACTTTTTGAGGGTCGGGGACGACGTCAGGGTGGTGTGGTGCATACTTTTCTTAGTTTTCTGAAAGAAACGAAAGAGAATGTATACGCCAGGACCCCGTAAACACCAGGACCCGCGTCCCTGTGCGAGATCCAGTGTGAAGCCAGACAAAGGCGTCGGTGTAAAGAGTTCGGTTGCCTACATGAGGAAGTCCCGACCCTTTCCCCTGGACTGGTTTTTTTTTCCTGAATCGTTCTCTGACGGTCCCGAGGCCCGGCGAGGGTCCCCCGAGGCCGAAAATTCGCCGGCCCAACGGGCCAAAGGCGTGCTAAGATCTCCGGTGACTGCTTTACAATCTTTCTACTTCGCGCGCGCGGGGCGGCCCCTGGGGGCCCCCGGGCGGTAAGTACCCCGGCAAGGTCCCGAGAGAGTCCCGGGAGGAGTCACCAGGGCGCTCCAGCAGCGCACCAACGCGGCTCCGAGACGTCCCCGAGAGCCCCAAAAAGGGCCAAGAGGCTTCCAAGAGGCCCCCAAGATGCTACATGAGGGGTCCGAGATGCCACAAGATCGCTCCAAGACGCCCACGATGGCCCCCAGACGCCCCAAGAGGCCTCCAAGAGCACTCCCGAGAGGGCCCCAAGAGGCAAAATTCACTGCTTTTCCTTAGGTTTTGGAGAGATTTTGGCGTTTCCACCTTTTCGGCTTCACGACACCCCAAGACGGCCCAAGAGGCCCCCAAGACCGCCCCAAGAGGGCCCAAGAGGCCCCCAAGAGGGCCCCAAGACGGCCCAAGAGGGCTCCAAGACGGCCCAAGAGGCCTCCAAGACGGCCCAAGAGGGCCCCAAGAACGCCCCAAGAGGGACCCCAGGGGGGGAACACGAAACAATATTTCGAGCCCTCGGCCCTCAGAAGTCCCCAGGAGGCCCCAAGAGGCCCCTAAGAGGCCCCAAGAGGCCCCCAACAGGCCCTCAGGAGGCCCCCAAGAGGCCCCCAAGCGGCCCCAGGAGGCCACCCAAATGCCCCCCCCGAACACGCAAGCAAGTGCCAGCGACGCTACACTATGGGCCGGCGGAATGAGCGAAGCGATTCAATAAAGATATTCCCAATAGTTTCCCATATTTTCTGGGTTTCTGTCTTCCCCCCACTTCCCATATTTTCCTATATTTTCTGGGGAATCGACGATTCATTGTGTCTGTGTGTTTCTTTTCCTCCTGATAGACAAAATAGAACACCAATGTCGTAGGGAGGGAAACTCCGCCAGGAGGGCCAAGAGCACCGATGAGGCATAAGAGGGCCTTTTCTGCAGAGGCATCGAACCACACCGCCCGGATCTACTTTGGCTCACATGCAGATAGACGGGGACCTCAGTGAGACCGCGTCTCCCTCGCGCTATTGGGTTTAAGGCTATGTTGCTCCCAGCGTACTTGAGGGCCACATCCCAGAACTAGTTTCGAGCACCCGGAAGAGCGTCGAAAGAGTGTCGAAATGGTGTCGAAACAGTGTCGGACGAGTGTTTCTCAGGGCCCGGCACGTGAAAACCTGGAGATGTTCGGTAACCTTCTGGCGCTCGAAATTATCTCTGGTGATCCAGGCTAAAGGAGGTTGGAACATCTCGGGGATGGACAGACCCCCCTTTGGTAAAACGTGGTTTAGTGAAAAAGACATGAGGCCCAAACCTGGCGGGCGCAAGTCTGGAAGATAACGGCCACGGCGCCCTCTCGAGAACCGAAAACGGACAATTCACTAATCGACGTGTCACTATTGGGGGTCTTGTCCACCCCCGAACATCATAGGCTCAGGGGTTCTTGCATCCTCGATGAGCTAGGCCACCCGGGAAGCCCCCTGGCAGAAGCCGTGGCCGCGCAGGGGAAGCCCGCGGAGAGCGTGGCCCCTCGACCGCGGGGCGCTCCCCGGAGCCACCATGGAGGAGCCCTCCGCGGAGCGCTCCCCGGAACGGACTGGCCCTCGGCCTGGCCCCGCCCGGCCGCCGCTGGGGCTGTGTTCTCCTCCTCCTCCCCCTCCTCCTCCTCCCCCTCCTCCTCCTCCTCCTCCTCCTCCTCCACCCCCTCCTCCTCCTCCTCCTCCTCCTCCTCCCTCCTCCTCCCCTCCTCCCTCCTCCTCCTCCTCCTCCTCTCCTCCTCCCTCCTCCTCCTCCTCCTCCTCCTCCTCCTCCTCCTCCGCCTCCTCCCTCCTAATCCTACTCCTCCCCTCCTCCTCCTCCTCCCCTCCTCCTCCTCCTCCTCCTCCGCCTCCTCCTCCTCCTCCTCCTCTCCTCCTCCTCCTCCTCCTCCTCCTCCCTCCTCCTCCTCCTCCTCCTTCCCCTCCTTCCCCCCCTCCTCCTCCTCCTCCTCCTCCTCCTCCTCCTCCTCCCGTCCTCCTCCTCCTCCTCCTCCTCCCTCCTCCTCCTCCTCCTCCTCTCCTCCTCCTCCTCCTCCTCCTCCTCCTCCTCCTCCTCCTCCTCCTCCTCCTCCCTCCCCTGCTTGCCCTGGTCCTGGCCCGAAATCCCAGAAATTATTTCGAGCACCCTGAAGAGTGCCAAAGGAGTGTCGAAGCAGTGTCTAAACAGTGTCGGGCGAGCGTCTCCCAAGGGCCCGACACGTGAAAACCCCCAGGTTCCTGTATTTTCTGGGGGCTCGAAATTCTTTCTGGTGATCAGGAGGTTAAAGTGAATTGGAACATCATAACGCTGGGGATACATGTGAGAGGTCTCCCAGATGTGGTCCGAGCAGATGGGGTTGAAGGGTCGCGCCGCATCGCCAATGCCTCGCCGTTGCATCGGCGACGTCGGCGAGGCATCGGCGACGTCGGCGCTGGGAAACACGGGCTCCACATCGAGCCGCGTGGTCGATGCATCGGCGACGCGGCGCGATCCTCCGACCCCATCTACTCGGACCCCATCTAGGAGGCCTAGGTACATGCTGTACGAGCCGTCGTCGCCCGACCCCGGACCGCCGACGTCATGCCTTTTTCATGACGTCTCGACCCCCAGGGGTCTCGACGCATTCCCCTTAATTGATTTTTATTACGAGTTTTTGTTCACGGTCCCAAGGCCCGGGCAGGGCTCCCCAGGGCCGAGAATCAGAGCGCGAATTATGTCAGGCTGAGGTTGGCTCAGGATACGTTCCAGGATGTCCAGCGCATCTAGCGCGCAAGGGGCGGCGCCGGAGGCGCCGTGGGGGGGCCCAAGCTCCGATCCAAGAAATCCGCGCGCAGCGCCAAAAAATCATGTTCATGTCATTTGCTTTTGTTTTTTCGTCGATTCCAGCAACAAGAACTCTCCGTCGTGACCTTGTCATCTCTGGAAGGGGGGTCTGTGACCACTTGGGCGCCCGAAGTATCCGGGGTAACTCGGGCCCGGGATGACTCGGGTTTGTATTCCCGAAAATCGGCGGTGGACAAACCTCCCTTTTGTAGACCTCCCCTTAATGAAAACGGCCTGGGACCGAAACCGACGGACCTGGACCCGCAAAAATGACGGCCGCGACGCCCTCTCGCGAACCGAAAACGGCCAATTCCTTAATCGACGTGTCAAGGTAGGAGGTCTGTCCACCCCCGAGAAAAACGAACCCAAGGGAGCCCTGACCCGAGTTGCCCCTGATGGTTTGGGACCCTGGACGCACGAGTTCTCCGGGGTAACTCGGGCCAAGGATAACGCGGGTTCGGATGCCCGAAGAACGAAGCCGGGTTCGCCCTGACCCGAAGTGCCCCTGATGATCTGGGGCTCCGGACGCCCGAATTATCCAGGGTAACTCGGGCCCCGGGTAACTCGGGCTGGGATTCCCGAAGACTGCACCCGAGTTAGCCCTGACCCGAGTTCCTACATCTCAGATGTGCAAATTGTGGGACAGCACGAACCACACTTTCCGATCCTCAGGTTGGCCACGAACCACCCCCACCCACAATACCAAAACTCACATCGCCGTTACCAACACCGCCGCTAGCGCGTCTCGGGAGCGGCCAAGAGGGGGGTGTCCAAGAGGGGAGGGTGCAAATCATGACCGGCGGCATGTGCGCGGCCCAGCGGGGGGGCCAGGGTCGTAATGAAACAAGACGAGGCGCCATGAGATCTGGGGAAAGATCATGGCCCCCGCCATGAGATCCACCCCCACCCTAGTCTTCACCCCCTTCTTTGCCGCCCCCAAGCGTCTACGGACCACCGCGCTGCTATCGGCTACACGCAAGAGTGACCCTGGGTAAGAGTGACCTTTGGTGCGCGGCTTTTTGTTGGCCGCGGGGGGACCACACCTGGGCGCGCAGGCCGCTGCTCCTGCTTCGTTTTCAGCCACCTGGGGGCCCGTCTGTGCCCGCACCAAAGGTCACTCCGGCGAAAGGTCACTCTTACGTCCAGTCGAGGGGGGGGGGGAAGGTTAGAAGCAAATCCGCTCAATACCGGTCCCTGGCCCCCTCCCGGGCTCCAGCTTGTGCTGTGTTTTACACGCTGGCTCCGGTTTTGACGGCCCCGGGCCCGACAACGGCCCCTGAGGAGGAGGAGTTGATGAGTATGATGAGGATTATTATGAGGAGGAGTGGTTTTCGGATAATGATTGTTCGGTTTGTATTAGGAGTATTAATCTTTTTTATTATGATTATTATTATTCTTATTTTATATTTATTATGATTCATATTATTGTGAGTATTCTTATTATTGATTATGATTTTTCTGTGTATTAGTTCGTGATTATTGTATGGTTAGGAGGAGATGATGATTGGGAGGAGGAGGAGTATGCGTGAGTCTATTACCACAGCCCTGTCTGTGGTGCAGCGTAATCCACCGCTCCATCTGCCCCTCGCGTCTTCGCCGTGCCCCATCCTCCACTTCTCCCTCAAGATCCGGCGGCCGCGCCGCGCGAGGACTCGGCGGCGGCGCTGGGCCCTGGCGGCTGGCCCTCGGCGACGGTCCCCGCGGGAGGGCTGGGCCGCCCGGGCCTCGACGCCGTGGCAGCTCAGAGGCCCCCGTTCGGGGACCCGAAGAATAGACACCACCACCACGTCGATTCCTCCTCTCTCCTCTGCCCTCCTCTTCCTCTTTCCCCTTTCCCGGGGGAGGGAGGGGGCGAGGGCGATATGGTGGTGGTGTCTGTTCTTGGGCCCCCCACCACTCTACCCTGTGGGAGGCGTCCCGAGTCAGGAGGGCCATGAGCATCAGGGACGTGGGGGGTCTTTTCCTGCAGACGCATCGGACCCAGCCGCCGATGCGGCCTGGCCCTGGCGTGAGAAAAAGGGGGGAGACTCCGTGACTGGCCATCGCTCGGACGTCCATTCAATGTGTTTTTTTCGGTTTCGTGTGTGTGTGTGTGGTTTTTGTGTGGTTTTTTTCACCAAATGATCAAGGATACTCCTCGATGGTCCTCGCTGGAAGAAAAATACACAATTCCGAGCGATGCCTCCGTGGGGCCACACGTCTTCCTCGCATGGTTCGGGCGAGGGGCTGCCTCGTCCTCGGTGGACGCCAACGGGGTCGCGGTCCACGGGAAGGGGCCCACAAAAACACAAATAAATACACACAAGTAAAAATATTCCATATATTTTCCCATATTTTCTGGGTGTCTGTCTTCCCCCCCACTTCCCATATTTGCGCATATTTTCTGGGAGTCGACGGATATTTGTGCCTCTGTGTGTTTTTTCCCCTCCTGACAGGAGGTATGTCTCTTTGCCTGCTCCGCAGGGAGCCTTCCGCAAGAGAAGCCCCAAACCTGCAACCCCGGGACGCCCACCGATTTATTTTTGTTCTGCGCAGGAGCGCCGCGCTCTCCATAGCAGAGCCGTCCAACTCCCAAATCCAAGAAAACCCAGGGCCAGGACGCCCGAAATGGGTACTCCAGACTTCGTAATAAAAGGGAGGGGGTCTGGACCCTCCAAGACGAGCCATTTCAGACCTCCCCCGTGGGAGAACCCTCCAAAACACCGCCCCCAGACCCCCCCAGGCCCTCCAAGATGGCCTGGAAGAGACCCCCCCCGAAATGAGACCCCCCTCCCTTTATTACGAGATCTGGAGTACGGACAAAAAATTGAATGTCCAACATCAAATCATCGTCGTCGTCGTCGTCGTCGTCGTCGTCGTCGTCGTCGTCGGCTGCACCGGCCATAAGGCCTTCGCAAGACACCTTCCACGAAGAACCTTCACAAGAGACCCAACCTCGAGACCCTGCTCTGCCCCACAAGGCGACTTATATCGATGCGCGCGACCGGATATCCCAAATATACACCTTTGGAACGGGTGTTTTTGTTTCAACAGGGGACATGCTGCAAATTTGGCCCTTATACCCGCAGCGAAGAGGAAACATCAGCGACGAGGGGCATGGGCGACAACGGCGAAGGTAAGGAAGACGTAGGCGAGGAGAAACGCAAGTGCTTCTCCGAGCAACGGCCTCGCCCCACGAGGCCGATGTGCGCCTTGGCTGCGCGTGGCCGCGCATTCGAGGAAACGGCGGCGGCCCATCGAAGGGCCGCTGCCGCGTTCAGGAGAGAACGCGAGCAGCGACCCTTGACGCCGCGACGGGCGATTGGAAATCGATGCACCTCCCCTGAGGCTCGGGTCGGGCGAAAGGTGGGGATAGCAAAGGGCAGGTTTGAGAACCAGCTCACGTAGCTGATTTCCCCGGCGCCTCCCAGCGCAGGAGGCGGCCATGCATCGAGGAATGGGCCCCATCGGTGAGGCCGAAACCAGTTGCATGCAGCAAATTTCGTAACCCCAAGGTTTCGGTTGGATTTTTTATGATTTCTTCTATAAAAAACCAATGGTTTCTTTGATTTGTTTTACGGATTTCCTGGTTCTTCTGGTTTCTCGTTGTTTTTTTCTTTGATTTTCGACTTTCCTAATCCCCCCCTTTCGTCCAGCCCGAGAAGCCGTCCCCCTCCCGAGCATTGCCCCTGCAAACGGCCAGCCATCCTCTGCCGTTATCTTTCCCACGCCGCCGGGGATCTCCCGGGGCCCGGTGGCCCTCTGCCCCGGGGCCGACGAGAAAACGCCCGAACATCTGGCGTAGTTTGAGGCTGCGCTGTTGAAGGGGCCCTGGGACACACAAGTAAATACGCATCAACAACCAGATTCCCAATATTTTCTAATATTTTCTCGGTTTTTGTCTTCCCCGCCACTTCCCATATTTTCCAAAATTTTCCTGGGAATCGACGAGGAATTGTGTCTGTGTGTTTTTGCTCCCTCCTGAGCTGGGACCGCGTGGCAGGCTTCCAGCCAAGCGGTAGCATTCTCCGCTTTCGTTGCGTGCTCGCTGTCCCTCGACGCCCGTCGCTCGGCCCTCGCCGCAGAACGGCACCGGCACGAGCACGGCCCACGACGTCGCCAAGACATCGTTTATCGGGGTGACGTAAGACTCGGGTTCGGGGGACTCGGGTTGGTCTGACGGGGCCAGCCATGAAAATGACGAGGCCCAATCTGGAATTTGACGCGAGCTCCCGCTGCAGACATCCCACGAGAACTGGACGGTCAGAATCCAGGACGCGCTCGTCAAAAAAAATCGGCAAACCCGAGTCCCGGCGTTCTCGAGTCTTACGTTTCCCCGAGTTTCGCTTGAGCCCCGCTTCGTTGCCGAGCCCAGCAGTAGCATTCTCCGCTTCCGTTGCGTGCTCGTTGTCCCTCGACGTCCGTCGTTCGGCCCTCGCCGCAGAACGACACCGGCACGAAAACGGCCCACGACGTCGCCAAGACACCGTTCAGCTCGAGCCCCGCGTCGTTGCCGAGCCCCCGCTGGCGGCCCCCCCCCCCTCCCGCGGGATGGGCGCGCAGCAACGCACGCTGTCGTGGCAGGAGGGCCCCCAGCGGCCCGGGTTCCGCGAGCTCTGCCTCGGCGGCGAGCGCCCGGGAGGGGGAGGGGGAGGGGGAGGCGAGGAGGGGGAGGGGGAGGCGAGGAGGGGGAGGGAGCGGGAGGGGGAGAAGGAAGAGAAGGAGGAGGAGGAGGAGGCGGAGGAGGAGGAGGAGGAAGAGGACAGGCGAGCAGGAAGGAGCGGGGAGGAGGGAGGAGGACGACGAGGTACGAGGGGGGACGAGGAGGAGTGATCGGCGGGGATTTGCTCCCACTTTCCCTGGAGATCTCTGGATTGACCTGGAGTTGCCTAGATCTACCTGGATTTATCGGCGGCGCGCCCAAGGAGAAGTGAGAAGAAGAAGGCCTTCTCGGAAGGCTCGGAAGTCGTCCCCCGGCCTTCTGAGAAATCTCCTGCCTTCCTCGAAGGCACAGAACACCTCTCAGAGGGCGCGAGGGTTTCTGAAAAGTCTCGCCGCTCTGTGGGAAGGCCCATCCTTCTGACTTCCCTCCCTCGCTCGCCGCCGAGCCTACCTTGGGCTATCTGGATCTATCTGGATCTATCTTCCTCGATCCCCACAGGTCGATCGGCGAAGGGTCATCGCCAAACCCCCTTGGGAGCCCTCGGAGCCCCCCCCTCGCGGCGCGGAGGCCCCTGGGAGCCCCCATCCTCGCGGTGCGGCCCCCCTTTGGGCCGGACCCTCCTCCCCTCCGCTGGCCTCCTCCCGCTCGCCTCCCACCCCCTTCACGGTTTCCCCTGGGGCCGTAGGCGACCCGAGGAGGAGGGAGGAGGTGGAGGGGGAGAAGGAGGAGGGAGAATGGATAAGGGGAGAGGAGCGGAGGGGGGAGGGAGGAGGGGAGGAGGGGAGGGACGGAGGGAGGGGGGTAGGGAGGGGGGAGGGAGGGGGAGAAGGGAGGAGGAGAGGAGGAGGAGGGGGAGGAGGAGGAGGGGATGAGGGGAAAGGAGGAATGAGGAGGATGAGGAGTAGGAGGGGGAGGAGGAGGGAGAGGAGGAGAGAGGGGAGAGGAGGAGGAGGAGGTGAGGAGGGTAGGAGGAAAGGAGGGAGGAGGAGGAGGGGGGGTCGCCTAGTCCCTTCAAGAACCCTCCCCGTCTCTCTCTCAGCCTCGTCCTCCATCCTCGCTTGGCCCCCCGCCCCCCCCCTCCACTGCATCCCCCGTCCTTCATCCCCTCTCGGCGGCGCGCACTAAAGGGTTAAAGGGGAGGGTGGAAAGCTTTCAGAAGAGGCTGCCTCTCGAAAGCGCCAGCAGTACATCTGCAAAATAAAAGCAAAAAAAGCAAAAAAAAGAAACACAAAGAAAAAAATCAAAAACAAAAAAAAAAAAAAAGAAAAAAAGCAAAAAAGTAAAAAAAAAAATAAAAAAGTAGATAGAAGTGAGTCCCCCGCGCCTTCTAAGAAGCCGGGGCGCTTGTGAGAGCCCGTCCCCCCTCCCACATACCCCCCAGTGCGCGCCGCCAACCCTACCTCCTGCATCCATCCTTCGTCCTCCATTCCCCCCCGCTCCTGGGCGGCCTATTCAGGACCTGGTCGGCGCAGATTAGCGACGGCAGGTCACGGTGTGACAGAGCCGTCTGCACGCTGGCATAGTCACACTATGTCGGCACCCTCAGCGAGCCTCGGTCACGAACAGCTTCCCTGACGTAGACATGGGGAACGGCCAGAAAACCTGCGCCCGTCCTGAGCCCGAAGCGGCCTTGATGTCAGCCTTTTGGCTGTAGTGGGACGCGGTCGGTGAAAACTGTTGATCGGCAAGTGTGGCATGTCATGGCTGAGCCGAGCATCTGGGAGAACGCGTGGACAGAAGAGAGCGCGGCTAGCAGCTCTGCGTGGCCATGCAAGGAGCGCCTTGCTGAGTGATTGCGTGCACACGGAGGCTCAACTGCGAAGCGGAGAAACAGACCGCATCACGACTACAGTGTCAGTAGGCAGACGATCGATACTATTAGAAGAATAAGAAGAACAAACGCCATAAACATAAACTTTTGGCGCTCCGCGCAAATTTCTTGGATCCGCGCCGGACCCCCCTCCCTGGCGCGCGGAGCGCGCCAGGGGCGGCGCCAGAGGCGCCACCAGGGGGGTCAAGAAGGGATCCAAGAAATCCGCGCGGAGCGCCAAACGTTTGTGTTTATGGTGGTTTCTCTCTTTCGAAATCGGCAGGTGTAGGTCTCGAACAAGCCATGCAGGCGCCGAAAACCGCCAAGATCCACTCCATGGAGGCTGGGGGGAGGAGGGGGGGGTATGCGAGGGCCCGCGCCGATCGGCAAAAACGGCGAAGAAGCAAACGATCACTGGGCGGACGATCGATGACAGGCAAGGGTAACCCCAGGAAGCATTTAAGACCCCCCCCCACCTCCGGCAAATCGATAACCCTTCCGCACCATCATCCATATCCGCATCATCATCATCATCATCATCATCATCATCATCATCATCATCATCATCATCATCATCATCATCGTCATCATCATCATCATCATCATCATCATCATCATCATCAGCATCATCATCTCATCATCATCATAATCAGCATCATCATCATCCATCATCATCCTCAACCTTCTCCTCATCATCATTATCCTCCTCACCCTCATCCGCCTCATCATCATCATCATCATCATCATCATCATCATCATCATCATCATCATCATCATCATCATCATCATCATCATCATCATCATCATCATAATCGTGTCCGGGTGCTACAGCTATCGTTCGGTTATTTCGGCCCTTCGGAATCTCGAATAAAAAATGCGGTGCTACGATATCGCTGGGGGAGTTCTTAAATGCTTCCTGGGGTAGGGCTCCAATGCCGCCGCCGAGGCATGCCGCCGGCCGCCTCGAGTGCCGCCGCAGCAGCAGGCCGCCCGTGCGGGCGTCCAGCAGCCACACGTGCACGGCGCGGTGCCACAGGCCTACGCTGGCTTGGCGACGCGCACAAGTCGGGTCGGGCGAAAGGGGGGAATAGCAAAGGGGGGGTTTGAGAATCAGCTCGCGTAGCTGATTTCCCCGGCGCCTCCTGGCGCCGGAGGCGGCTATGTATCGAGGAATGGGCCCCTCGGTGAGGCCGAAACCAGCTGCATGCAGCAAATTTCGTAACCCACCCTTTCCCACACCCCCCCTTTCGCCCGGCCCGAACAAGGGGGCAGCGGGAGGGGGGAGGGCTTCACGGAGGGAAGCGGCTTCCTAGAAGGCGCCACGCCCTGCATCTCCAAACAGGGCCCGCACCATCTGAGAAAGGGGTGCTTCGAAGAAGCCCTCTCCCCCCCTCCCCCTAACCTAGAGGAACAAGAAACGGCATAAACATAAATTTTGGAAATCCGCGCGGATTTCTTGGATCCGCGCCGGGCCCCCCTCTCTGGCGCGCGGAGCGCGCCAGGGGCGGCGGAGGCGCCGCCGGGGGGTCCCAGCGCGGATCCAAGAAATCCGCGCGGAGCGCCAAAAAGTGTATGCTTATGGTGTTTTTGTTCTTCTTCGATACCCCCCCTTTTGCGAGTGGCTGAGGTATTGGAGGCCTGGGAATGGGCACCAACACCGACACAGGGGGTTTTCCACCACAGGGGGAAGATGATCCTCGACTTCGGCGTCGGTGGTAATACCTCGGCCACTCTGGAAGCCATACGATCACCACCATCACCGAGATCGAGATCCTCTTCCCTCGGTGGAGGCACACCGCCGAAGTTGGTGTCGGTGTCCATCTCTAGGCCTGCGAAGGTAGGGGCACCAACTCAGGGGGAGCGGAAAGATACGGATACGTGTTGTCCCCGGACCTCTCTTGGGGTGCGTTCTGACCAGAATTTCGAGGCGAATCCAGCGGTGACAACGAGGATTCCCCAGGAGGACCAGGAAAGGCCGAAAACGAAGGGGGACAACACGTATCCGTATCTTTTTCTCTCCCGATCAGGGGGGAAGAACCTCGAGCTGAAACCGGCGACGCCTCGCCGAGGGGGCCCGCGAGGCAGCGACTCCGCACGCTGCTGCTGGCGGGCAGCAGGCGGGGGGAGGTCGCTGCGTCCCCACCTCGCGCTGCCCCCGCTGAGCAGGGGCCGGCCGTCCCAGCCTTCCGTAGTCCTACCACGATCAGGGGGACGTAAGACCTGGGTACAGGGGACTCGGAAATCCCCGACGAGGTCGTCAAAAAAATGACGAGGCCGAGCCTGCATTTTGACGAGGCCTCCCGCTGCAGACATCCCACGAAGCTCCTCCTCGTCAAAATCCGAGGCGCGGTCGTCAAAAAACGATGGCGAACCCGAGTCCTGGCAAATCCAGGTCTTACGCTCCCCCGATCTTAGCACCCAGCAATGTTCCAGTAGCAAAAGCACGGTCCTTAGAACAGAAGCCCGCCGTGTGAAAGCAGCAAGACAGGCTCAGCCAGACATGCTCTGGGAACCTTTTTGTGCAGACCACGCAAGGGTTCCTCGAGCAGTCTCTTAGTGGGCCTCTATAATTAAGCGAGCCGGGACGCTTCGCCACTGCTTGCCCCCCGAGCCTCGCTGCAGGCACTCTGCGGCCCCGCGCACGCCGTACGGCGACTCGGCGAGGGGCCCGTCGAATACCTCCACGAGCTCCGGCTGCGCAGGCGCGACCGGGGGCGGCTCGCGGGGGGACAGGCCGCAGGGGTCCGTCAGCGTCGGGGCGCCCTCTCCGGGAGCTGCATGTCTGTAGCCCTCCCCAGACATGCTCGCCTCGCAACCAAAAAAAAACAAAGGAACGACTTTCGCCATGTTCGGCCTCTGGAGGCCCTCGCCGGGCCCCGGGGCCGTGAACAAGACGACGCAGGGTGAAAGACCGGCCCCAGGGAAGGGGTCGGGACTTCCGGGGACGCCGTTCTGAAACAATCAGGACGTCGCATGCCTGGGCCCGCAGCTGCGGATACGAGTGAGGGGGCGGCCGCGGGGTGGGCCGCGGGGTGGGCCGCGGGGTGGGCCGCGGGATGGGTCGTGGGATGGGTCGCGGGGTGGGTCGCAGAGTGGGTCGTGGGGTGGGTCGCGGGGTGGGTCGTGGGGCGGGTTGCGGCTGGGTCGCGGGTTGTGTCGCGGGTGGGGTGACGATAATATATCTTGCAGGAGTCCCACCAGCCCTTCAGGGCATGAGGTGGTCTAAAATGTTTCCTCTTCCACGCCGTCTCTTCCCCTTCGGGGAGGGGTTCACCCATCCCCCTGCCCCCTCCCCTGGACCTGGACGGGGCCGGTCGCGAGCGGTCAGAGGGTCCAAGATGGCCCAAGACGGCTCCGAGAGAGCCTCTGAGAGCCCAAGGTGACCGCCAAGATGGCTCAAGATAGCCCGAGATGCCTCAAGATGGCTTCCAAGATGCTCCAAGAGGATCCAAGAAGGTTCCAAGACGGCTCCAAGAGGCCTCCAAGACATCCAAGGAGGCCTCCAAGAGGCCCAAATCCTTCCAAAACTTGAGGAGCACCAGTAATGTTTGCCGTCTAGCCTTTTCGCTTCCGATGGTTATCCGAGGCCTCAAGATGGCTCCAAGATGGCCTAAGAGGGGTCTCAGAGAGCCTCAAGGCGGCCCCAAGAGCGCCCAAGAGTGCTCCAAGAGCGCCCCTAATGACGATGTGTGGGCCCCCCGAGGGGCAACAGTAATTGGGGAACCCTTCTTGTTTGATCGATGTCCTCCAAGATGGCCCCAAGAAGCGCCCAGGAGGCCCGAAGAGGCCCCAAGATGGCCCTAAGAAGCCCCACGAGGCCCCCAAGAGGCCCCAAGAGGCCCCAATAGGACTCCAAGCGGCCCCAAGAGGCCCCCCGAGGCACCCAAGAGCCCCCCAGGACCGCCAAGGGACCCTCAAGACGTCCCAAGAGGCCACCAAGAAGCGCCCAAGAGATATTCCAAGAGGCTCCGAGAGGCATCCAAGAGACTTCTGGCCCTTTTGCTGCCAACCCCCTCCTGCTCTTCCCTCCTCCTCCTACTCCTTCTCCTCCTCCTCCTCCTCCTCCTCCTCCTCCTCCTCCTCCTCCTCCTATTCATCTTTCTTCTCCCCACTCCCTCATCCATCCATCCAGCCTCCTCCTTCTCCTCCTCCCTCCTGTGCACGGTTCGGCCGTCCTCCTCTTTGCTCCCGCACTTCTCTGATCACCTCAACTCGCCTGGGCATCGTTTCTGGATGGGCTGGGGGGATACGCGAAGCGTGTAGAATTCCCAAGAATCGCCAGGAACCTTCAAGGATTCACAGAATTCCTCTGGCTTCTTACGGATCCCTCGGTGTTCCTGAGGGTCCCTCGGGGTTCCTACGGGTTCCAAAGAGCCCCATAGGATTCCAACCGATTCCTGGTGGTCCTTGAGCTTCCGTTGCGTGCCTGAAGATTCCGAGGGATTCGTAGGAACTCCTAAAAATTCCGCAATGAAGCCTACGAGTCCCTAGAAATCCTCGAGAATCCGACGGGGCCCGTGAGGATGCCATCGGGCTCCCACATCATTCGGGGCCTGCCAACACGCCCAGCAACCCCCCGGAGGGGGGCCTCTGCCTCCCCTCCCCCGGGGGCGGGGGGGGAGCGAAGCCTCCACCAGGGGGGGGGGGAGACTGAAGGCCCCTCTGCTGGGGACAATGGGTTTCCCCGGGGCAGGTCCGCCCCATCCAACAGCAACAACAGCAGCAGCAACAGCAACATCAGCAAAACAGCAGCACCACCACCACCACCACCACCACCACCACCACCACCACCACCACCACCACCAACAACAACAACACCAACACCAACACCAACACCAACACCAACACCAACACCAACACCAACACCAACACCAACACCAACACCAACACCAACACCAACACACACACACACACACACCACACACACAACACACACAACAAACACCACACTACACAACACAACACACACACAACACACACACACACACACACAACACACACACAAACACCAACCCACAACAACACCAACAACAACAAACAACAAACAACAACAACACCCACAACACCAGCAACAACACACACACAACAACAACAACAACAACAACAACAACACAACAAATATTCCTGCGTGGAGCTCCCCATATGTGCATCTACTCGCATGGACCTGTCCGCCGTGAATGTCTAGGCGCAAGAGCTTTCGAATATTAACGGGCTTCAGTTGTGACGGTCTGGACATCAATCTAACTGCGAATGAATTGGAGTGTGAATGAGCCTCAGTAGTACGAGCGCGTCTTGTGCATGAGCCTGGGGCCTCCTGGGGCCTCCTGAAACCTACTGGGGCTTCCTGGGGTCTCCAGGAGCCTCTTGGGACCTCCTGGGACCTCCTAGGAAGGTTTCGTGCCCCAGGGGAGGCGCAATCTATAGCAACAGACGTACATAAAACATTGCGGATTAGAGCCACAGGAGAAGGGCAATCTATAGGAACACGCGTAAAACACCAAGGACTCGTGCCCCAGGAGAGGCCCAATACATAGGAACATGAGTAAAACATTTAGGATTGTGTACACAGGGGAAGGACCATCTATAGAAACATACGTAGAACATCAAAGAATCGTGCTCCAGGTGAGGCCCAATCGATAGGAGCATACGTAAAACACATGGGATTGGAGCCACGCCTGTTGCCTTCTGAGGCCTCCTGCTCCTGGGGCCTCTCGGGGCCTCCTGTTGCCTTCCGAGGCCTCCTGGCGCTTCCTGTTGTCCTCCTGGGGTCTCCTGTGGTTTCCTGAGGCCTTCTGGAGCTTCCTGGGGCCTCCTGGAGCCTCTTGGGACATCCTGTGGCCTCTTGAGTCTTTCTGTGGCCTCCTGATGCCTCCTGGGACCTCATGTGGTCTCCTGGAGCCTCCTGGAGCCTGTTGGAGCCTCCTGTGGCATCCTGAGAAGAATCTGCGCCCACGAGCCTGGCCACCAAAACTAGCAAACCGATCGAGACATCCTCAAAATCTGGCCCACCTGGGGGGTGAAAATGAGCGCCTCGCTCGAGACATCCTCCAAATCTGCTCCGAAAGCGAAGGATGTTGGGCCCAGAAACAAGCAAACCGCCTGAGACATCCCCACAAAATGGCCGCGAACGAGCCCGTGCAAACACCCCTGGCGGCTCCCCTTAGGGGTGCTGAAATGAGCGCCTCGCTCGAGACATCCTCCAAATCTGCTCCGAAAGCGAAGGATGTTGGGCACAGAAACAGGCAAACCGCCTGAGACATCCCCACAAAATGGCCGCGAACGAGCCCGTGCAACCACCCCTGGCGGCTCCCCTTAGGGGTGCTGAAATGAGCGCCTCGCTCGAGACATCCTCCAAATCTGCTCCGAAAGCGAAGGATGTTGGGCACAGAAACAAGCAAACCGCCTGAGACATCCCCACAACATGGCCGCGAACGAGCCCGTGCAACCACCCCTGGCGGCTCCCCTTAGGGGTGCTGAAATGAGCGCCTCGCTCGAGACATCCTCCAAATCTGCTCCGAAAGCGAAGGATGTTGGGCACAGAAACAGGCAAACCGCCTGAGACATCCCCACAAAATGGCCGCGAACGAGCCCGTGCAACCACCCCTGGCGGCTCCCCTTAGGGGTGCTGAGTATGAGTAAGTCTGTGTATGAGTAAGTCCGTGTATGTGTACGTCTGGGTATGACTAATACTGTGTATGAGTAAGTCTGTGTATGAGTAAGTCTGTATATGAGTATGTCTGAATGTGAGTAAGTCTGAGTATGAGTAGGTCTGAGTATGAGTAAGTCTGAGTATGAGTAAGTCTGTGTATGAGCAAGTCTGAGTATGTCCGACAGGAGGGGAGGAGAAATTATTCACTGCGTGGAGCTCCCCATATGTGCATCTACTCGCATGGACCTGTCCGCCGTGAATGTCTAGGCGCAAGAGCTTTCGAATATTAACGGGCTTCAGTTGTGACGGTCTGGACATCAATCTAACTGCGAATGAATTGGAGTGTGAATGAGCCTCAGTAGTACGAGCGCGTCTCTGTGCATGAGCCTGGGGCCTCCTGGGGCCTCCTGAAACCTACTGGGGCTTCCTGGGGTCTCCAGGAGCCTCTTGGGACCTCCTGGGACCTCCTAGGAAGGTTTCGTGCCCCAGGGGAGGCGCAATCTATAGCAACAGACGTACATAAAACATTGCGGATTAGAGCCACAGGAGAAGGGCAATCTATAGGAACACGCGTAAAACACCAAGGACTCGTGCCCCAGGAGAGGCCCAATACATAGGAACATGAGTAAAACATTTAGGATTGTGTACACAGGAGAAGGACCATCTATAGAAACATACGTAGAACATCAAAGAATCGTGCTCCAGGTGAGGCCCAATCGATAGGAGCATACGTAAAACACATGGGATTGGAGCCACTCCTGTTGCCTTCTGAGGCCTCCTGCTCCTGGGGCCTCTCGGGGCCTCCTGTTGCCTTCCGAGGCCTCCTGGCGCTTCCTGTTGTCTCCTGGGGCTCCTGTGGTTTCCTGAGGCCTTCTGGAGCTTCCTGGGGCCTCCTGGAGCCTCTTGGGACATCCTGTGGCCTCTTGAGTCTTTCTGTGCCTCCTGATGCCTCCTGATGCCTCCTGGGAGCCTGTTGGAGCCTCCTGTGGCATCCTGAGAAGAATCTGCGCCCACGAGCCTGGCCACCAAAACTAGCAAACCGATCGAGACATCCTCAAAATCTGGCCCACCTGGGGGGTGAAAATGAGCGCCTCGCTCGAGACATCCTCCAAAT